AGATAATGAGATAGAGAGAGCATGAGAGGGGATAGGGTCAAAGGGAGAAGCAGACTCCCCGCCGAGCAGGGAGCCCGATGTGGGACTCGATCCCAGGACTCCAGGATCATGACCTGAGCCGAAGGCAGTTGCTTAACCAACTGAACCACCCAGGCGCCCCATTAAAAACTATTAGGATTAACTCCATGAATTTCTGGTGACTTGCATTAACTTTCTTGGCTCTTGTTTTCTTTTTCTGTAAGATGAGAGGATTGAGCTGGATCTTTAAAGTTAATTCTGAATATAAAATTCTTTGATTCCTGGGCTTTTCATTTAATTTAAACAGAGAACGTATAGAGCTTCTAGTTTTTGTGTGTGCAGCCAGTTTGGTATGTAATGAATACTATTAGTCTGATGTTTTTTTTCACTTGATCATCCTGTGGAGGTGCAGAAAAGTCATCAGGGAGAATGGATTAAAAGAATGTACATTGTTTCAACTGAAGATTCACAAAAGAAAAATACTTGAGCATGAAGGAGCATGGCAAGCATGGGCTGGAGAATATGTGGGTGGGACCTGGTTATTGTCTGTAGACATCAGTGTCATTTACCCTTAAGTATTATTGTGCCTGAGCGAGTGAGTTTGTGTGTCTGTCTCCAAGTATTGGGTATTGTGCTAGATGGTATAATGATGACTCAGTTGCAGTTCTTTTAGGGCCTTATGGTAGAGATGGTTATAGGAGGGGTACAATGATTATTGACATAAGAGAGCTAATGAGATGACATGACATAAAAAAAGCATAATTATTACATCATTATAGTATTTTTATTCCATTTATATAGTACCTTTTTCTCTAAAGGTGCTGTACAAATAACATCGAGATAATAAGCCATTTTAAAATGTCAAAACACCAAAGAATGAAAAAGCTAGGAGAAATAAATACACAGAAAAGAAGCAATAGAGGCTTTAGATCACTGATCAGCACAAAAGTTACTGATTCTTTGGCTAAATCCATTGCACTCACCATTAGTTCTGTAAATCAGTGGGAACTTGACATGGAGGCCTTTTCCTTGAGCCAAACTAGTGCTCACCATTTTACATCCTATGTTTGTGATTGAAGACCATGGGTTTTGGTGTCAGATGGACTTGCATTTAAATCCTGATCTTGCTGCTACTAGCTATTAACTTGGAACAAATTATCTAAACTTTCTCAGCCTCAGTTTCTTCATCAGTGATGTGGTATTTAATTATATAATTATACTTCCCTTGTTAGGATGGTCTTGAGGATTGATTGAAGTGAGTGAGTTATACACATAAACCATTTAGTTCAGTGCCTGGCACATGGTAAGTGCAACATAAATAATAGCTCAGTATATGTTAAAACAATGATTCTGGGGGTGCCAGGGGGGGCTCAGTCAGTTAAGCGTCTGCCTTCAGCTCAGGTCATGATCTCAGGGTCCTGGGATGGAGCCCTGCTTTTTAGGCTCCCTCCTCAGCGGGGAGTCTGATGCTCCCTCTGCCCTTCCCCCTGCTTGTGGTCTCTCTCTCAAATAAATAAATAAAGTCTTAGGGAAAAAACCACACAGTGATTCTGATGAGGTGATAGAGCATAATAACAGTTTCTCTGTGGTTTAAAAGATGAAGCAATGTGGAGTTGTCAGGGTCTTCTCCTTCTCTGAATTGATATAGTATAATCTGTACTTTATAGACTAGCATTAGACTTTTAAATGAAACATACAGAGACTATACCTAATAATTTTAAGTTATATACCCACTGCCACCTTTAAGAAATGAAAAATTACAGATAGAATTGAAGATCTCTGTTCCTCTCTGCCTTACCTCCCCAACATATCCATTGTCCTGAATTTGGTGTATCATTTCCACACATGTTATTATATTGTAATTAAAGTATTATACTGTATATAGCCTTCCATAGCTTTTCTCATTCAACATTGTATTTGAGATGTTTTTGTTGTATATGTAGCATTATTCATTAATTTTAACTGTCATAGAGCATTCCCTTATATGAATGAATTTTATTTTAATCTATGCTGTCAATGGACATTACCTATAATTTTTACTCTTTCTGTGTATCTCTCACCTTCACATCCCTCTTCTTCAACCTAAGAGGCAACCACTAACCTGAGTTGTGTTAATTATTTTTTAATGGTTTAAACATACATATTCCTAAGTAATATATTGAGTTTTGCCTCTTTTTAAGGTTTAGGTAAGTACAATCTTACTACTTTTTTTAGTGTTATTCATGTTGATGTGTGTAGCAGTAGTTGCTTTCACAGTATACATTATTCCATTATATGAATGTAGTACAATTTATGGACCTCAGGTTGTTTTTTTACTTTTTACTTTTGTAAACAATATATAATTAACATTCTTGTCATGTGTGTTGAGATCCTCTCAGGCATATACCTATGTGAAATGACTGAGGTATGGATAATGTAACTTGCATCTTTATCTTTACTGGATATTGATAAGTAGTCATTTCATTATCATTTATTTATTTTCTAATTTCTGATTTGACCCATGAGTTTACTTTAAATTTTTTAAATTTATTTTTTAATATTTTTAAAATTTCCAAATATATAGAAGTTTTTGTTATCAATATTTAATTTACTTGCACTGTGGTGAGCTAATAATTTTTTTTTTTAAGATTTTATTTATTTATTTATTTGACACAGAGAGAGAGAGGGAACACAAGCAGGGGGAGTGGGAGAGGGAGAAGCAGGCTTCCCGCCCAGCAAGGGAGCCTGATGCGGGGCTTGATCCCAGGACCCTGGGATCATGACCTGAACTGAAGGCAGACGCCTAACGACTGAGCCACCCCGGTGCCCCAATAATGTTTTTTTAAATTTTATTTTATTATGTTAGTCACCATACATTACATCATTAGTTTTTGATGCTAATAATGTTTTTATCTTACTAATTTTTGGCATCTGTTAAGACTTTTGCTTTATAGGTTAATATGTGGTCAAGATTTAGCCAGGTTTCAGTCAGTTTTTATAAATATTCCTCATGTTTGAAAATAATTTATTAACTTATTGTTGGGTACATGAGCCTAAACTTACTAATCTTCTCTAATTTTACTAATTGTTTTGGCTGAGGCAGATATATTAAAATCTTCCCATTATGATGGTAGATTTGTCAGTTTCCCATAAATATAATCATTTTTGCTTTATATATTTTGAGGCTTTGTTATTAGGTGCATACAAGTTGAAAATTGTTTTATCTTCCTCGTAAATTCTTTGTGTGTGTGTTTTTTTTAAAGATTATTTATTTGAGAGAGAGAGAATGAGAGACAGCATGAGAAGGAGGAGGGTCAGAGGGAGAAGCAGACTCCCTGCCGAGCAGGGAGCCCAATGCGGGACTCGATCTTGGGACTCCAGGATCATGACCTGAGCCGAAGGCAGTTGCTTAACCAACTGAGCAACCCAGGCGCCTGTAAATTCTTTGTTTTTAATTGTGTGTGTGCGCACACCTCATTTTTTGTTTTTTGTTTTTTTACTATTATATAATGATCCTCTTTTTTTCCCCCTCTAACAGTGCCTTTTGCCTTAGTCTCCATTTCCTGACAGTACTGTAGCTATTACTCGCCCTTTTCTTTTCTTTTTTTAAGATTGATTTATTTATTTGAGAGAGAGAGAGGGAGGGAGAGAGATATAGGGGGCAGCGGCAGAGGGAGAGAGAGATTCTCAAGCAGCCTCCCCGCTGAGCATGGAGCCTAAAGTGGGGCTCAATCCCACAATCCTGAAATTGTAACCTGAGCTGAAATCAAGAGTCAGACACTTAACTGACCAAGCCACCCATATGCCCCACTGTTACTGGCTTTTTGTCATGTATCTTTGCTTGTATTTCTTTTTAATATACTTTAAATTTTTCTTTATTCTCATGTTCATGTTTTTAGTATGTCTTTTGTAAAACAGGACCTCATTTATTCAATTTGAACATTCTCTTTTGTTAAGTTTAGTCAGTTTACAATTATTACCATTACTAACATATGTGTAGTTATTTCTACAATCTTATTATGTTTTCTGTTTACCCTGCTTTTCTCTGTGCTGTTTTTTTTTTCCCTTCTTACCTGTCCTCTATTGGTTTGAATAACCTTTCTTTATTTCTTCTTTCCTTCTGCTGACTACCCCTAACATTTTAATTGTATTTGGCTTTGTAAAATCTTACATTAAACTGGTATGTCTAAACATAGTGATCCCAAGGGACACATGCACCTCAATGTTTATAGCAGCAATGTCCACAATAGCTAAAACATGGAAAGGGTCCAGATGTCCATTGACAGATGAATGGCTAAAGAAGATGTGTGTGTGTGCGCGCATGTGCGCGTGCACACACACACTGGAATATTACTCAGCCATCAAAAAGAATGAAATCTTGCCATTTGCAACAACAGGGCTAGAACTAGAGGGTATTATGCTAAGCGAAATAAATCAGTCAGAGAAAGGCAAATGTCATGATTTCACTCATATGTGTAATATAAGAAACAAAACAGATGAACATGGGGAATGGAAGGAAAAATAAGATGAAAACAGAGAGGGAAACAAACCATAAGAGACTCTTACTCTAGGAAACAAACTGAGGATTGCTGGAAGGGGTGTGGGCAGGGGGATGGGGTAACTGGGTAATGGGCATTAGGGAAGGCACTTGATGTAATGAGCACTGGGTGTTATATGCAACTGATGAATCACTAAATTCTACCTCTGAAACTAATAATATAGTATATGTTAATTAAATTGAATTTAAAGAAAAAAATTGGTATGTCTACCATATTTCTGATAATACAAGGACCATGGAAAGCTTTAATTCCAGTTACCCTCCACCAATGGAAAGTATATATGGTATATGGTATTTTACTTCTGTTCTTTTTTTGTCACTAAGGGTAGTCTTTATTATTGCCCCATTACATTTAATTTTTATTTCTGTACTTTTGTTGTTTTCTAATTCCCAAGGAAATTACGAACTCCTTATTTAAACTGGTTATATCACTCTTTCTCTTCAGATTTTCAAAAGAAACAACCAGACGATGATTCTGCTCCAAGTACAAGTAACAGCCAATCAGATTTGTTTTCCGAAGAGACCACCAGTGACAACAACAATACCTCGATAACCACGCCAACTCTTAGTCCCAGCCAGCAGCCGCTTCCGACAGAATTGAATGTAACTTCACCAAGTAAAGAGGAGTGTAAGTGCCCAGATCTTTGAAGTGGTACAGAAAGCAGCCCAAGAATTGTATCATGAGCTTCTTAGTAATGCCTTGTCTCAGAAGAAAAGATAGCAGTTCTTCTAAATCAAGATTAAGTGTTGACGTATAGGCCCTTGTCAGCAAGTTAGGGAATAAATTTTAGCTATTCCATAGAGCTTAAGGTCCTTTCAAAGATAGCTTTTTTGGTTAACTGTCAAGGTATGAGGTCTTGAACCAGTCTAGGGCAGTGGTTCTCAGTCCTGCCTGCAAAATAGAATCCACTAGAGATTTAAAAAAAACAAAACCAAAAACAATTATAATCTTTTTTTTTTTAAAGATTTTATTTATTTATTTGAGACAGAGAGAATGAGAGAGACAGAGAGCACATGAGAGGGGGGAGGGTCAGAGGGAGAAGCAGGCTCCCCGCCGAGCAGGGAGCCCGATGCGGGACTCGATCCCGGGACTCCAGGATCATGACCTGAGCCGAAGGCAGTCGCTTAACCAACTGAACCACCCAGGCGCCCAACAATTATAATCTTTAGCACCATTCTCTGAGTCTAATTTTATTGATCTGGAGGGAGCCCCAGGGACTTGTACTTTTTAACTCTGCAGAGGATCCTAATCTGCGCTAATTGATGAGAACCACTGGTCTAGAGAACTTCCTAATTTAGGAACCTTGGAAACCTTACTTCTGTCACTCACTGGGCCTTGTATGTTTCTAGGCAATCAACTGAGATAATAACACTATATACTTCATAGAACATAGGGTATTTGAAGAGAGGAGGAAATGGTTTCTCTTATTCTTCTGTAAGTCCTCAGCAATAGAATGTTATTGTTATATATGTGATATGGAAGTCCATTGTCCACTTAACTTTTTTACTGCTGTAGCCAACTCCTTTGGGACACAGCTATAACTAACAGTGTCTGTTGAAAATTTTAGGCACATTTTGACATAGCAGTTTTTGCCTCTTAAAAGCTTCAAATTAACAGGTTGAAATTTGATGTTTCAGATTTAATGAACATCTAGAAATCCTTGGAATATGGTAGGTTAGAATGTTCTGCCTACTAACTTTGGAAAGATTAGCAGAGAACAAATTATTTATCATAAACCACTGTACTAGGTGACATTGAGAATATAAAAGTAAAGAAGGCCAAAGTCCGTGTCCTCAAAGAATTTACTCTTTATTAGGGTAAATTAAATATATTTGTTATAATATGTCAGTGGTTCTCAACCAGGAGTGATTTTGTCCCCCCATGCTATTAAACATCCTACACTGCATAGGATAGCCCTCCACAACAAGGAATTATCCAGCCTAACATGTCAGCAATGCCAAGGTTGAGAAATCCTGAGTCCATTTTAATGATTCTTCTTAAATATTAAAGACAATGATTGTTGAAGAAGAGTGTTGGTTTCCTGGAGAAAATTGTGCTGAAGACAGACACAAGGTGGTGAAAAGACATTCTAAACGGAGTAGAGTGAGCTTTGGAGGAAAGGTACATGGAGTCCTGCACTGGCAAATGACCCCTTTAAGGGCATTTATAGAGGACAAGGCTAGAAAGGTAGATGATGATCAAGTCAGAGAGGTTTAAATGTTCAGCTTAGATATTTAGATGTTAGACAATTGTCATGTTTTTAGCAAAGAAAGTAATATTACAGTTCTTTTGGAGAAGTAACCTGGCAGTAATGAAAATGGGAAGGATTATAGTAGAATAACATTGCAGAGGAAGAATTTTTAAAATACTGTAACCTATTGAATAGAGGCCCAGGGGAAGGTGTAGAAATCATTGAGGAGGAGGGAAAAAGAAAAGATTAAAATGGTAGTGATAATGTTGGGGTAATAGGTTTTGTTTTGTTTTTAAAAATCTATTTGGGGTCATGTACTTATTGAGAAACAGATAAAAGATAGGGCCCCTTGTCTCAGAAAAAAACACACCATCCATTTATACCCAATTTTGAATAAAATGTTTTAAGTTCACTATGGCCTTTAGGTGAAGAACTCCTTGTCTAAGGGAAAGTTTGGAGCTGGTCAGGATCTCATCTGATTGGATTCTTATATACCAGGATCAGGCCACAACAAATCAGCCTGAGTAGCCAAGTTGTGTGTGAGACTGAGATAACAGTAGCTATCATTTATTGAGCACTTTGTTTGTAAGACATTGTTCTCTATGTTCTGAACATTTTCTCATAGAAGCCTCATGATAACCCAGTGCAGTAGATACTATCATTATCCCCATTTTAGAGCTGAGGAAACAGGCACAAAGAGATCAGGTAATTTACCTGTGGTCACAAACAACTAGATACCAGAACCAGTATTCAAATTCAGGCATTTGGCTTCAGAAACCATGCTTTTAATCAGTTATTTCACAATGTAAAACATAATTGCCACAGAAAATAGAAATTTTCATGTTGCCAAGATCAACACTTTCTCTCTCTGTAATTAAGGTATGTGGAAACTCAAATCATAACCAAAAGTTAACTTTATTAATTCATGAAAAATCCTAATAAATAGGGAATAAATAAATAGGGAAATAAAAATTTATACATAGGACTAAAACATTTTCTCTGGAGGCAGACCTTTCTGGGAAGCCAACCTGTACGAGGGTTTATATAGCAAATGGCAAAGTGTGGACTCACCAAGTGGAATTAAAGTGAAGTAAATTTTTAATTGAGTCAGGTTGATTGTGAGGTGTGCTCTAAGTACATATAAGGAAGGTCTTGCATTCAGTGCAAGATTCCATCTTCATACACCTTTTCTCCCTCCTCTGCCTGGACTTAGACGGGCTCTTAGCTTTGTGGCCCCTAGGACACAATACTTCCTGTGTTTCCATAACTTGCCCGTCTAGGCCATTGTACACTGCCATGTTTTTTCTTTTGATAATTAAATACTTTCAGTCTTCTGTTCTACTAAGCTTCAGATCCATTCTCTCTCTGATGACATCACTGTTTTAAACCATTGTGTGTTTATCTTGAGTTCAACTCGCTGAAACCAGTCTTATTTCCTAATCCTTATAAGGCTCATTATTGTAATCTTCAGGTTTTCACAGATCTGAGGAATTGAGATTTGCTAATCTGAGATATGATGATGACTTTCATGTTCAAGTGGGCTGGTTGAGTTGGAGCTCAGGAGAGGGAAGTCAGAGTTAGCTTCATGCACTTGGGAGATGATAGTTGAAACCTTACTGGTTAAATGAGATTGGCAAGGATGAGAGCAAGAAAAAGCAGTGAGAATAGAACCTTGAGAGTGAAATCAAAACAGAGGACGCAACTTGAAGAAGTCAGAGAAGAGTAGAATAATAGTGGGCAAGTTCACAGAGGCCAAGGAACAAATTTCAGCTTGTTGTGTTCTTTCATAGTAATAATGAAAATGTAAGCTCACATTTATGAAGTGTTTGCTATTTTCTAAGTACTTTCCTAAGCTCTTTACATGTACTAACATTTAATTTTCACAGGGTCTTATGAGGTAGGTGCTTTTATTATCCTCATTTTTACAGATGAGGAAGATAAAGCATAGAGAGGTTCAGTGACTTCAGTCCAAAGTTCCAGAGCTGCTGCTTCTTAGTATAGTTCATGTTCAACCCACTAATTTGGCTCCAAAGCCTATGTTTGCAACCAATTGTGTCATCATTAAAATGCTGCAGACTGTAAACTGACAAGAGACATTTGGATTTGATGATCATGAGGTCGATTACCTAAATATAAGCTATTTAATAATCTATTGCAGATTGGTTGTATATTCATTTAGCGGTCTTTGCTGGGAGCCTACTCTGTTAGGCACTAGGTTAAGTGCTGGGTACAGAAATGAGCAAGATTAGGCCCCCAAGGAGGTCACCTTTTCAAATATATATGCCTCTCCCTGAAATTCTGGCTTGTTCTCCGACACAGGTACAGAAGAATTTCGGGGTATAAGGAAGGAGGCATCAGGAGCAGTGATCAGTAAGCATGTCATTTGCAAAAGCTTTCTCACCGAGGTTGAAAACTGTGTGTGCCTGATTTGTATGTGAGGTGTATAGGGATGAGAAAAGTAGGGAATTTTGTTAAAGTGTTAGGGCGGATGCATTATGAGTCAACCTGAGATAATTACAGTGATTGCCAAGTAGCGATGAAGACCCAGGTGAGAGTAGAAGGCCCTATCCCTAGGCACCTGGCGAATTTCTTCAGCTGTGATGTACCTCGTAGAAGCAGGGTGGAAGAAGAGGAGGCAGGGGATTACTTATGTTGATCTTTTAGCATCCTCGGGACCAGAATTTCATCTGTTGGCCCTTCATAGCTTCCCTTATATAGAGGTATGAAGAGGTAGGGTGTGGAAGTTGCTGGGGAATGGGTTTGGGATTGCAAATTCAAGTACCACATAATTTGTTAACTATACAGTAATTATGGATCTGTTGTTATTGTGTAGAACTGGAATGCTGTGTATTGTTTAGGACTTGTGAGAAGGTCTTACTTTTTCTGTAATAATCAAGAGAATGAGTATTGTTTATATCTACTTTTTGCTTCTCACTGTCAAATGAATGTACGAAAAGAAAGGTGGTGACAGTCTGGGTACGTTAATGCTGTATTGAAAAGACTGCAGGTAGAGTTAAAAACTACTGACAAGAGTGGGGCGCTTGGGTGACTCAGTCGTTAAGCGGCTGCCTTCAACTAGGGTCATGATCCCAGGGTCCTGGGATCGAGCCCCACATCAAGCCCCACGTCCGGCTCCCTGCTCGGCGGGAAGCCTGCTTCTCCCTCTCCTACTCCTCCTGCTTGTGTTCTCTCTCTCGCTGTCTCTCTCTCTGTCAAATAAATAAATAAAATCTTAAAACAAACAAACTACTGACAAGAGTGGTTAAGCAAAGAAACAGGACAGATTTTTATCCAAAAGAATTTCTTAAAACACCTGACTGAAGGTCAAATAAAACAGATATCCAAAAGCTCCAAATAATATTTTTTTTGTCTGAATTCACACACATACCTCTTCCTCTCCCATTGTGTATGTCTACAGAAGAGTCTATGGAAGTTC